TTCAACGGCTCCAGATTTGTATTACCTCCCTCGGAAAATGACTCGCCAGGAAATTTGACGTCACGGAGCTCTTGCAGTCAAACATGCAGCACAAACATTTCACCTACAGGGACAATTTCGCTTAAATATGCGTTTGACTGTTCATGAGCAAAATTATTCGAATGCACGAGCATGAAAAACAATTTGAGAATTTTATCTCATGAATTTGAGCGAGAAAGTACAATAACAAGACCAATCTCTTTGTTTTCAAATGCGCGATTTCAGCCCGACTGTTGTTGATACGATTCAAATTAACATACGAAAGTGCTAACGACACCACAAAGCCTATGAATAAAGACTTGGTACAGAAAAACTCAAGTTTGGGATAGGAATTTGGCCCATTGAGGTTCATGGGACTTTTTCCAATTATAGATTACGATTGCAAACGTTTAATTTCATAATATTTTCAATTCAAATTCAACAGGAAAAAAAACCTGACCGTTTTTTTTTGTGGCCAGGAACATACAATAAGTTGGAACAACTTCTGCTCCAACATTTTTGTTAGTATTAAGCTGAAAACAATCACAATGTGATTCTAACTCTGACAAATATCATCCGGAGGACTAGCTTTAAAATTGTGCAAGGGGAACAAACGGAATCGAATAATATGAACCAATAATTCCCACAATATATAATTCATGGACCTCGTCCATGCACGCTCCTAGCTCGAATATATTATTAAACACACACCTTGCAATGTAAAGTAACAGTCTGCTCTCTCTGCCAATCAGGTCTGCTCTTTCAGATCCGTCATCTAAATCTGAAGCTGAGGATGGTCGTTCTGAGGAGTGACGCGGCCGCCCGTGCCTTTATACTGGCCAGCCATTTCCTGAGCAATGACTGGTGAGCTAGGCCTGGTTTGTGATTGGCCCGTGCGCGCTGTCACTCACACACATCACTGACTTACCTCATACTGATGAGTTATGTTCATTCAATGTTGTTACACACTTTGCAGGTACTGATCTAATTGAAACTTGGATCAACGACACTTTGAAATGACCAGGTCTTATTGGTAGATATGAAATAGATGTCTCTGATGCATTTTCTTTTGGGATGGGCCAAGGGAGACGTATCAGTCACGGACCACTCTATCGGATCACCGACTTGTTCGGAGATGACGTCTGACTGGTGAATAAAACATGACCCAAACCACCGTGCATGATTCATTGAGTGCTGTACAAAGTGGAACAAAGTGGTTCCCGTTTGTAAATTTCAATAATAAAAGCTTCGAATTTTAGTGGGAAGTGGAACAAAGTGGTTCCCATTTGTAAATGTCAATAATAAAATCTTTGAATTTTAGATTTTTAACGTTTCCTTTGACAATGAGGGTTTGTTTTCTTAAACGATTGTACATAATGCATGCAGCAATGGAAAGTGCACAAAGCCAGTTACTAAGCCAAATTCTTAACAGGCTTGTGTTTTATTTTAATTCTGCCACGGCTATAATGTGTAGACAATGACTTACCAGATTGATGTGACGCCTTGAGTAACAAACGTGATGAACTATATTTAACGGCTTAAACTGCGCACACGCACTCACTGCGCGTATCAAGTAAACGACTTAATCATATTGTGTTGATTTGGTTTCTAAAATTACTGAAACATCGATGTTCATTTGGAACTAAATTGTGACACTAACCCGAACTCCACGACTCTTAACATTGCACTCGGCACTGCAATGAACTGACCTGTTGAACTCTCCCGGAAGTGATAGAGGAAGTTAATGCACGCTTCCTATGGCTGGTATTTCCTTCTCCATGGTAACTAAACAGTTGGTATTGGTTGTTCATACATAACGTATTCACTTATCGTAATCAATTAGAACAATATAGGCTCGGAAAAGCGCACAAGTTACGCATAGCATTGTGGAGACATTAGGCCCTAACCAGTTGCTGGCATTTCTCTTTGCGTTGTTGTTACTCGTTCTTTTCACAGGTAGGGACCACAAGATTTTTCTTCTGGAGGGGGAGGAAAGCATTCGTGACGCCTACGCCTGGCGAGGCCAGCAAACTACTTCTCACCCTTCACTTGTCGTTTCAACACTGAGCAGTTTTTCAGGCAGGAACCATGTGGTCGAGCAAGCCTCCTGTTGTTCACTCATCCGTGTTTGTGCTATGTAGGGAAAGGTGCTCAACAAGCCAATGTGGCAAATCGAAGTGGGTATCGGTCGATTTGTACAGTGGTAGGTTGATATTGGTAACTACAAACTACAGGTAGAGTATTGGAAGAACTCATCTACTGCTTTTGTTATTCATCTCCCATCCATCTTAGTTTACAATCGGTGGTACCTACATGCTACATGCAAGAATGACGTTTATTTGTTCCCCGTTTAGTGCAAAAATGCGCAAAATGAAAGTAACTGAAAGGACCGGGCGGAAAGCTTCATTTCAGCAGCTTTTAAAGGTTTTTATTTTGTAATGGTTATCACAAATAACATCTGTGGATGCTCTGACAAGGAGACATGGAATAAAACTGCATAAACACATTCAGACATTTGGGGAACTGTCCTCGTTACTCAGAGTTTACTTAACAGTAATAGTGTAACAGCGATGACATGTTTTTAACAATAGGATACCTCTTAATATAACATCCTTTGTGAGTTAAAGTTTCAAAGAAGCCTAATAAGGAGTGTAAGTCATTGATTGGTATCAAGTATGTGAATAAGGTTGCATAAAACAATTACAAATTCAAACTATCGTGTTGTCATCAGCATGAAAAAAAAATCGTACACACTTCTAGCACAATTTATTTTAACTGATCTCCCGTGGAGAAAAGGGAGCAAGTTCCAGCTAAGATGTTTTTAATTGAATAGTTCAAATGAGATAATTAGAACTTTAGGAAAATTATTACCACCTTATCTCCGTGGGAATAATGATTTCTTTACAGTTGGCTTCACAGCTAAACCTGGACACCGTGACAGCTATAGGGAATCAAGGGCAGTGGTGTCACGTCCAGAGATCAATGTTATAAGAGTCTTCCGAGTGTGGGGTGGAATGTAGGCAAGGTAAGTAGATAATTTAGTACTACGTGTATTTGTCACCCAAGAATAATGGAACTAATGAATGGAGGATAAAGCCCCTGAACAAAACAAAGGATAAACAAACAAACAAATTATGAACCCCAACAGTCTTCAAAACGAGATTTAACACAGCCATTAACGGCTGTGACATCCACCTAGCATTAAATAGACACTGGCACTTAATCCAAGACAATACGGGAGCTGTTCCATACCCCCCAATTGTTACCTTCAGAAGAGCACACAACCTATTTGAGATGTTAATTAGACCGAAACTGCCACAGCAACACGAGCTCAAATTACTCCACACAAGCTCTGATCTTTTCAAAGGACTAAACAAACCCGATGAAACTCTGAACATATTGCTATCACTACTACAAGAACAAAATAAAAATAACCCAAACCAATAAAATGGCTTCCCACACCACTGGTCGGACCATAACAGTAAAAATGTCTACCCCACATAATGCTCTCAGCGAGTTAGCAAGGGTTCACTTCCTGCCAACATAGGCGCAACTCACGAGTACAACCACTGCAGGGCACGAAAGCATGCTCTTGCTAACAAACAGGAATTACAGTTAATCCTCTGCTTGCAATGGTGCCATTCCTTATTCTAAACATCCTACGTTTAGAACCCTACGTTTTCACGTCAGACTACACAGACTGCTCCACGCTTAAAACCTTTCCCGATATTTCGACAGCATTGTAATTACACATTATAATAACCCATAATGCGTTCAACTGTTGAGCCAAAACTAAACAACGATGTATCGATCTACTAAAATCAGACTAACCTCATAAAATGACTTGGGTACTCTATCAGTACTTTTTATGCGTATGAATTTTGGTCCTAAATGTTAATGTCGGTTTGTAAGATATTGATATTGAATGCCAATTTATTATTTTGATAATATCCATAATGGGTTCAGCTTAAATTGGATGCGGGCTGATTGCATTTTTTTAATAAATGTCTTAATTTTGAAAGTGATACCAATAACCAGTGTTGTAGTACTCGCACTCGATACTCGTACTCGAGTACTACTCGAGTACCGTTTTCAGGGTACTCGTACTCGTACTCGGGCTACAAAATACTCGGAACTCGACAAAAATTGTACTCGGGCATCAAAGTACTTGTACTCACTTAACAGTACTCGATAAAAAAATCCTTTGAGTTAACTTACCACCGCCGTTATGATAAGGTACAAAAATATCGACCCCAACGATCCGATATTCGATACAGTTCTGAGGATACATTTCCGCGATGTACTGGGGCATTGGTAGTCTTGTTTCAAGTACTCGTACTCGGATTAGAAGTACTTGTACTCGTACTAAGAGGTGCATGTACTCGGAAACCGGTACTTGTACTTGGCTGGCAAAGTACTCAACCTGTCTTTGTACCCGGCGGTCAAAATACTCGGCAGTACTTGGTACTCGGAAAAAGTACTCGACTACAACACTGCCTATAACCCTCAACTTGGCTAAAGAATTTCCAAGCAAATCATTTGTGTTTGTAAATACAAATCATGGCTTAGATTCCACCGAGAACACCTGCTTCTATCATATTTCAGATTCATTTTTCTATATCAACTTGATATTTGATCTTTGTGAAAGACGGAGTGAATATTTGCCTGTAAACAAAACGCAGATGGCAAAAGAGGTAGGCCTATACTCCATCGCAAATATCAGCAGCGTCCTATGCACACAACACCGCATTATTTATTCATCCACCGTGCTACGGGAACAGTGGAGAATCAAATCTGCAACATCAGTAAGAAAATAGATAAACATGTTTTAAAGATTGTGTGGGAGAGACACAATCATTTCCATAACTCTATGGAGAAATCTTTCGGAGTACTACACAATCGTCCTCAAGGAATAAAATAAAACAAATAACTAACTATACACAAACACTGAAAGACAAAAAAGGGAAGAAATTAATGTGTGGTTGTTTATTTATTTGGGGTAAAGGAGAAAGCCGCTGAATGAGGTGTAGTGGTTGGGCGAACCACCGTTTGCCCTACCACTCATGGTCAAATGCACTGAGTCTCCTCGCTGCAGAACCAGCACTGCGCTCCCAGACACCTGCTCATATTGATTTGAGTCATAGCTACCGCCAGAGATAACGCTGACGTTGTTTTTCCTAAGATGAACCCAGAGGTAGCGGGAGCTATGTTTGTTAACAGAAAACGTGAACACATAGGTACCTGGCACATTACATGTAAATGTTCCGGTGGCAAGATTGAAGCTGGTACCCGGCAGAAGCGTCTCAACCTGCTCGAAGGGCAAACGGGTGTCCTGACTCGTTGATGTATCTGAGACGGTTACTCGTGTCACAGTGAACGCTACCCGGTGTGCAGAGTTATCAGGAGCCTCCCCCGGCTCTCCCTTTTGACCTTTGACCCCCACTTCCCCGATGGCTCCAACTAAACCAGGTGGGCCTCTGGGACCTACCTTACCCGGCAGGCCACTTCCGTCGTCCCCTTTGGGGCCAGGGTTTCCAACAGGGCCAATCGGACCAATTTCACCCTCCTGACCTTTGACCCCAGCACCGCCCTTTGCTCCTGGCGGTCCATACTGACCCTGATTTCCTGGTAGACCCGGAATTCCGGGTGTCCCAGCAGGCCCCTGGCAGCACATTGGACACACCTGAGACCCAGGACCATCACCGTGTGCAGGAGGCGGCCCGGTAATGGTAGCTCCGAGTTTGATAGAGTTACCCAGAGGATGGCAATCGAGGTGGCAATGAGAGAACAGAGTTGCATCTGCAAAAAAGAATATTAAATCTGTCAACACAGGAAAGCAATATAAAGAAAGAGAAATATAATTTTGCGGTGGTTAGAATCAAAAGAATCTGTTCTAATTTGAATTAGAACCCGGAATAGAAATATACAGATTAGCTTAGGAAGTAGCTACCCCATTTGACATTGGAAATAATTATCAGTTTTTTTAGAACGAGGAGACAGGCCAGGTGGGATCTCTGCCGATTGGAACACAACCAGTTAAAAAAGAAAACCTTACACTCCCAACGTCCCATGACGTTGGGAACTGCCACACCGAGGAGCCAACTTTTATGTGTCAGAAAGTTTGAAAAGTTTGAAAGAAATATGAAAAGAGATCGCTTGAAGGCACAAGGCTCACTGCGCAATAATGAAGGAGGACAACAAAACCTTCAAATGAAACGGAAAACACTGAAGTCTAAAGATGTAGATAGGCGTTCGTTTTGTCTCTTTCAAACGTACACAACTGTTTTCATTCTATCATTAAAGTGACTGAAAAAGTGGTGGTTGCAGTTGGAGCCCAAAATACGATTAAATCAGTGATTTGAAATATAAAAACAGTATGCGACACCGCATCAAGTAACAGTAACCTAAAAGATCAGAATGTCGTCTTTTGGGTCAAAATCAAATAATAACTTGATATGAAATTGTGGATGTGACAGCACGGTCTTCTCATTCAAATTATTCTGAATAAGTTTTGAAATAATAAGAACTGACTGGAAGTACTTTGATAACTCAATGGTTCAAAACCATTTCGTCTGCAGATCCATTATTTATGATCTGTGGTCACAATTTGGCGTCCGTGTGTGGTTGAGTGCGCACTGGAAAAATTCCAGGAATAGATAAGCCTCACAAACAAATCGGAGAACTTTCCGAATGAATGTGAACAAGACAAATACAATAACAAGACGTTTTGGTATTTAAATGCACAATGTAAACCTAACTGTATAATACGATATGATTCAAACTAAATGTATAAAACAATTAGAGACAACCATAATTTTTAAAGAAAACAAGTAGTAGAAAACAGTACAAACAAAAGGTCGGGATGGGAATGTGGTGCACTGCAGATGAGGTGACTGCTGCAATTACAGGTCACCGTCACAGACGTTCAGTTTCATCAGGTTTTACACTCAAATTCCAAAGTTTTTTTTAAATATTCAAGTGATTGACAACCAGACCAGTTTTCCCAACCACGAAGAGACAAATCCACAAGAACACTTGTTAAGTTTGTGGCAATATTTAAGAAATGACAATCACACGGTGATTCGAACTCGAACATCATTCCAACAACATTTGCAGATTGGGAATTCTGAGGCACTCGTTCTTGCATTGTTCTTAGCACACTTATAACATCAAACACTCACCTTGCAATGTACAGAGTAGTCTGCTTTATCTGCCAATGAGGTCTGCTCTTTCAATTCAATCATCAAAACTGGGGATGCGAGGCGATCGTTCTCAGGAGCGACGCGGCCGCCCGTGCCTTTAAACTGACCAGCCATTTCCTGAGCAGTGACTGAGCTTGGCCTGGTTTGTGATTGGCCCCTGCACGCTGTCATTCACACATCACAGACTCACTCCACACTGATGAGTTGTGTTCCTGCGATGTTGGCACACACTTTGGGGGGTAGAGGCACAAATGATCACCGACACTTTGAAATGTCCAGGTCTCATTGGTGGACATTTGGTAGATGTTGGTTATGCATTAATACAACATGCCCTTGTTGGGTGTCCACAAGCAAACCTGTCAATCACGAACCACTTGTGACCCCCAACTTGTTTGGTGGTAACATTTGATTGGTGAACGAAACATGACGTGGACCATCCTTGCCTGATACATTTGTTGTGGTGCAAAGTGGAATATTTACTTGTAATTTGTTGCACGTTTAACGACAAACCTTATGCCTGCCAAATTTCGGACAGCTATTTTGACACAGAGTTTGTTCCAGTTCTATAGCTACGACTGTACATAATACATGCATTAACGGGAAATTCAAGAAGTCAATATCTAGCTGCTTCCAGTCACGCTGTGCCGTCACAGCTACATGCAGGCACTTTTAAAGGGCAAAAAATAGACCCGGGGTACTCACAGATGACGTCTCTAGTAGCGAGCACGTGACAAACAATAAGTGCCTGGTAAACGTAATGTTCGCTCTAAGTAGTACTTATCATTATGAAGGACACCTTATCATGATGTGTTAATTTGATTTCTAAAAACACTAAAATATCTATGCTCATTCGAAACTAAATTATGACACTGACGGAGACTCCATAACTGTTATAATTCGATACAACTTCACAGTGAACTGACCTGTTGAACTCTACAGGAAGCGAGGAAGTTGATGCATGTATGGTATGGCTGGTACTTCCTCCCTGGTAACAACACGCTTGATATCAGTAGTGCATATATAGGGCATTCAATTGCATTTATCGGCAGAAACCCTACAAGCTTTAGAGAATGCACAATTTATGTATACGTGTAGCACTGACGCATCGCCACTCTATTTACTGACGTTGCTATGTACGTTGAGCAACGTGGGGGCTGCCAAGACTTCTTGCCTGAAGAGGGGAATGTCCTATAGTGGGCATGGTGAGCAGACTGCTCCTTGCCCGTCCGTTGTCGTGCTTACTGGAAGTCATTTCCGAGGCAAGAACCAGACTGTCGACCCAGTCTTTCAATTGGTCACTAATGAAGGTGTACACATGTACACACATACATGTATCTTCTTTTAACGGAAATAATGACAGGGCTCTGGAGATACCAAGCACTGGGAGAGGGCACATTATGGGAGTATTACTGATCAGCTGCCTTGCTAACCTTACCAGGAATTCTTAACAATCTGTAAGTTTTAAGACAACCCAAAGAGCTTCCTGATGAGTTTTCTGAAGACCCTGTATGAGTCCAATAACTCGGAAGGATATCCTTCCAATTTGTCCCTCTCAGCTCAACCTTGGCGTGTAATCCCTACATCGCCCTGTTTTCGTTTATAGGAAATTTGGAGAGGCAGCACAATGAAACTTGAAGGTGTTGAGCAAATTGTGGGGATAAATCTAAGTGGAGAACGGTCAAGTTGTGTGGTGTTGATAAGTGTTTTTTCAAACTTGGAAGAGCTCGGCTATTTCTGGTTTTCAATTCTACTCCAACCATAAGTAACATATTTGAGCAGAAAAACTGTGTTATCAGTTGAACAGAGCCAGGTTGGTTGGTATGTTTGATCAAGCGCCATCTTGTGGTACAGACTCGACCGAAACACTTGCATTCCTTGATTGTTTGTGAACTTTCACCATTTTGGGGCAAAAATGAAAAAAATGAGTCCTATCATTTGGAATAGGCAAAAACATCCTCTCAGCAGTCCTTCTCTCTCTCTCTCTCCAGTCAATCATTTTGAAACCCTTTCCATCACATTACATATCTACTGCATTAACATATATGAAATATTACTTCTTAAACAAGTCTAGACGTTTGTGAAACTGTCCTCTTTACGCAGAATACCCTATAAAGGTCAATATTCTGACAAAGTGTTTTAAAAGACAGTTTAATTGCTCTTAAAAAGGTATCTTTACTTCCTTTTACAAATTTTTTGCAAATAGATATTTCAACCCTTTCTACAGGATGTAAGTCATAGGTGGATACAAAACAAGTTTTATAACCAATTCTATAACGTAACTTTGAATTTAAAGATAGGCCTACAGTTTTATCCTGGAAGTTACATGCTTTGGCATAGCTTGTTTTAACATTGGTTTTCAGTGAAGAGAAGGGTAGGGGTTCCTTTGAGATGTGTTGCCAAATTTCTGAATAAAAGCACCCGTATTTCAAAAACATTTCTACGACTTTATCTTGGTTTGAGTGAGGAATTCTTTATAGAGAAATAACTGAGAAGTCACTTTTTGTAAACAAAAACTTCCCCCTTCCCTACACCGGATAATACATTGTTTTATTTCACTCTAGCACAAATAAGAAGGCAGTTTAAGGGCTCTGACTTTTGATAATATAAGTCCTCGTTTTTTAAACTGAGTTTTATACACGCTAACACTCTACTAGGAGTAATCTCTATTTTAAGAATCATGACTACTTATGAGCGAATAAACTAGCTATTCAAGCATTGTTTAAAAGTAGATCTGCTGTAAATATATAAACGGTTGATTAATTAATATCAAGCATGCAAGGATTTCATCTGTTTTCAAGATACAATTCCAATCGGTCGATTGGGGCAGCAGACAAATCTTGGCAAAATGTGACGTCATTAAACAGACTCGACTTTCCAGATGAGAATCCATAGCTCCGGTAAAAAAGTTGATCGGTCCCCGAAGAATTTTGAAGAAACAGTTAAATGTAAACAACAACAGCAAATAAAGTTGGCTCGTACTCCCTGAACGAAGATGGCGACTCACGCAAAGCCACAAGAAATGTTAACACGTGGCAAACACAACCATTGAATTCAGACCCAAAGTGCGAAAAACAGTTGGGTAATTAAATTTGACAAAAATCGCTCAGAGCGATAAATTATGTGGGAGAAGGAACTTTTTTTCTGGAATATTAAAACAGGCGGGGTTTCATACTACACAATTACACCCGACAAAAATATTCATGGTGTGGCTTGGTTGCTGTTTTTAGTCGGGGTATAGGAGGAAACCGCTGAATGACGTGTAAGGATAGTTGGACCAACTGACCGCCTTACCCTGAATGCTTAAATACACCGAGTCTGCTCGCTGTAGAATCAGCACTGCGCTGCCAGACACGAGCTCATCGATTTGTGAATCAGTGCTAATGGCAGATACAACCCGGTCCCCGTTTTTCCTAAGATGAACGTAAAGGTCGTCTAAGTAATATTTGCCTACTGAGAAAGTAAACACGTAAGTGCCCGGCACATTACAAGTGAAGGTTCCGGTAGTAAGATCGAAGATTGTACCCGGGAGAAGTGTTTTCGCCAGCTCGAAGGGTAAACGGGTGTCCTGACTATCAGAGGTATCTGAGTCGCTTGTCCGCGTCACTGTGAATGCCACCCGATAGGCGGAGTTATCTGGAGTCTCCCCCGGCTCGCCCTTTTGACCCTTGACGCCTACTTCCCCGGTGGCTCCATCTAAGCCAGGTGGACCTCTCGGACCTACGTTACCGGGTAGGCCGATTCCGTTGTCCCCTTTAGGGCCAGTGTTCCCAACAGCGCCAGTTGGACCAATCTCACCCTTCTGACCCTTGACCCCTACATCGCCCTTTACCCCTGCAGGTCCAACCTGACCTTGAATTCCTTGTGGGCCCGGATTTCCGGGTGTTCCAGCAGGTCCCTGGTAGCATATTGGACACAACGGAGACCCAGGACCATAACCGCCCGCTGGAGCCGGCCCGGTAATGGTAGCTTGGAGCTTGATAGTGTTACCCAAAAGGGTGACAATCAAAAGGGTGATCGTAAAACAGAATTGCATCTGTAAAAATAATGAGATTAACAAAGAAAAATCTAAACACATAGACAGGGAGACAAACATTCTAAGCAATGTCCAAAATTATTTCAGTGCAAATAAAACAAGTTCATGTGGAAACTTGAGAAACAATTTTGCAGATCAGCTTAGAAAGTTGTTATCCAGTTGGTGACTGAAAATGTTAAAAAAAAATTAATCAGATGAGTATATGGTAATGGTGAAGTCCTCCTATCCTTTGCTATACGCCCTTTCTAATCTACTTTTCAAATAGCAAAAGAAACCGCCACACAAAAATTGCATATTTTTGTGTCAGAGTGTGTCTTTCCACTTTCAAATGGCATAATAGTTAAAATGTTTACTCAAATCCTCGTGTAAAAAAAAAGTCAAAACGTTTATAAAGTGAAACGTTTGGAGTTGAAAATCTAAAGAAAAATAGAAAACATCCAAATGCAACTGAGATCTTAATTTTTTTGTTATTATTATTATTGGCTTTTTACGTTTTAGAACAGGCAACGGCCCAACCGACTCCCACAGGCTGTTATGCAATATGCACTGGGCATAACTATGTAGATATTGCTTACTACGCGTTGCATGTGTAATCAACTCAGTCAACCGATCAATTGATAGTGCAGACATTTTCAAATTAATCGTGAAACTGGACTTATCCCAGGATCGCAGCGTACGTAGTCTCGTGTTAAGCAAAGCCACACCTAAAACATGTTAACAAAGTTAGTTTGATATTTGAAATTGGACATTCCCATAGGTTTCTACAGGGAAATCAAACATCCGTGTACAATCCTATAGGAAGGTTCACCGTGTCGAGAAAAATAAGACATTCACTGTACAAAACCTATAGGAATGTCCAAACTAACTTTACTGTCATCCTAGAAACCCCCGTGAGTTACTCTTTACAGCGTCAAGGGCCCTTTCTGTCTTCTAATACACATTGTTATATTACACATCGGTCTCCAGTGAATTCTGGTTGCATAGAATTAGTCACAAAGCTGTTAAACAAACCAGTCATTACAATAATATGCACAATTTAAGCATTCTGAGGCATTTGTTTGTGGTCATGGGCTGATCAGGGCAGAGATGGTGTTGCTTAATACTAAATTCAACTATTATTCCAGGCTGGGATATCATGCTCTTATACAACATACGTGTCCCTTGCCTCCCTGTGACCGTTTGTACGAGGGCGCCCTCGTTCATAAAACCACCTCCTGAAGGACGTGATGCAAAAAGTAAATGCAACACCACATAAAACCTTTATTTTTAAATGCTTAACACTCACTCGTAATAAGCATTTGCAAGATCTCAGCCAAGATGAACAAATATGATAAAAGTTATACCTGCAAAGCGCAGTTATCGAACGAAATGCACTGCCAAAAAGCCTCCCAATGACAACCTCTTGGTCTGTCAATTAAGGGTATATATTTTTATTCAGGTGATTCTGCCCTTGAAAAAAGATTCCACTTTGCTCATGAAAAATGTATTGTATTTTACTGAATAGTGAAGTCAGAAGAGAAACTTACCTTGGTGTTTTATTTAATATCTTGAAGTTAAAACGAAGTGGAAGACAGATTAAACTGAAATTGAAACAAAAATCATTATTTAAACCAAAGGGTGTGAAATAATTAATAGGAAAGCGACGTCTGAATAAGTCCTGGTAACATTACAATTATGGCGGTTTGTTTAATCAACACCGAAATGTAATTTTGAACGAACAAGTAAGTCGTCACCGTTTTCACGAAGAGATAAAAGTGCCAAACATCGTTTTCTTTAAATGTCTGTGTTTTCCTCTTTTTTGGCAAAATCAACAATTTCACTGCTGCCTACAACGTGTTGTAATCACGTGTACAAAGTCTACTCAAATCAGCGAAATCACGATGACTTTCCTTAGTTGCTAAATGCAACTTAATTAATCTGCATTTACTTTGTTCACGAAGAGAGCTTTTAGTTCTCTTCAGGCAAAACATTACCACGAAAAAGCAAATTGAAGGCAAAATCCATTTTACCGTTTGTACGAAGAGTGAAAAGTGACTCAGGAATTGTATACAAATGTAATCATTTGCAGCTGGAACTCAACATCAAGGACCGTCTTGACGTAGAGGCAAAATGCAAAATCTAGCGTTTCACGAAAATAAACAGTTTAAATTGATTCCTATGATTACGATTTTGTGGATTTTGTGTCATTAAAGATCTGATCTCTCACACGGTAGTTTATTGTAGTTAAGAGAAAGACATGTCTTTGGGAAATGATGGCTTGAAAAATGGACCAACTGGAAGTGCAATTTTCTCGGTACCAGGATTTTACTCCTTGGATACACTTTTGCCTCTTCGTGAAAACGGTGACGGAACGTCATGGCGTAATTTCGCTATCATGCTTACAATATCTATCAGCTTTACAGCTAAGAGTAAGATTGTAAAGAAGAAATGGTTTCGGTCTTTCAATGGTCTGGTTAATTCTTGTCATTCTGACACGGGATATTTTTGATCTATTGTCACTACAAAATGTTTCTGACAAAAGTTAAACTAAGAAATAAGCCACTAGACTGACGCTGGGATACCAAACTACTTGCAGCTATGAGACGATTAAATTGATTAGAAGTTTTTCGGTTGCTCATTGGATCCAACACATTTTTTCGTAACGGATTGGCACTGTAACCCCTCTCCAAATAAAATACAGCACTTATAGACTTGCTTGTAATCTGGCTGAACTCAAAAACGAAGTAAATTCATCTTCACAAAAAAATTGCAGTTATACCCGCAGCACGATAGAATACGTGATGTATGGTTGCAATTTCGTGTCAATTGGCACTCGACTAATTTTGAGCAAAATCACTTGAATACTAGCCCCCAGACAAAGTTTAGAAGTTCATAGGAGGAATCGAGCGAGAAAGTACGATAACAATACTATTTTTAATGTAAACGTCCAAAGTCAACCTGACTGTCTTAATTTAATCAAACTACACGCACAACGTAAGAGACATCACCCAACATTAAAAAACCCCAATGCAAACACGCGTTTTTGGCGAATGGACGTCATGAGAGGAATTTTGCTCACTGAAGTTAAGTTAGCGTCTCAAATTATAGATTACCATCTCAAATGTCAAGTTTCAGAATGTTATGTACTCTAATCCAACGGTAATTTTTTATATACTTCTGTGTGGTTGTCTACCTAAATCTTTCTGAATCAAAAAAGACAAAAAGTGAAACCATACTTGCTGTTCTAACTTAATTTCGACAATAATCAACAGACTTTAAATTGCACGCTTACTCAACGTCTTGACCGAAGTCATCTCCGAAATTAGTTTTCTTTTGCAGGGGTAACGATACAGAGTAAAATAATTTCAATTCATTATTTCTAGGTTGTGTTTATTTTCCTGTCCTTGCCTAGCCCTAGTGACCTATTCAGTACTTACCTCGTAACATAGAGAGCGGTCTACTCCGTCAATTAAATCTGCTCTCTCAGTCAACCGTTCAGAACTGGATAGAAGCTGTCGTTCTGAGGAGCAACGCGGCCGCCCGTGCCATTAATCTGGCCAGCCATTTCCTGAGCAGTGACTGGTGAGCTTGGCCTGGTTTCTGATTGGCCCCTGTGTGCTGTCACTCACAAATATCATCGACTTATCCCATACTGATGAGTCATGTTCACAAGATGTTGACACACACATACAGTGGAGGTAGGGGCACCATTGAAACTTTGATCACCGACACTATTAAATGGCCAGGTTCACTGGTGGAATTTAGGCAGATGCCAATGAGACAATGACAAAAAAGCTCTTTTGGATGGACACAAGCAATCCTATCAGTCACGAACCACTCTCTTGAATCACATACTTCTTTGGTAATTACTTCTGATTGGTTGATGAAGTTTGACGTAGCCCATCCGTGCGTGGTTTGTTGAGCACTGAGTCACTCAAAAAACCCTAAAAACATTTTTGAGGTATTTCTAACAACCCCACTGTCAAAAAGTGTTTATGGCTTGGACTGTACATAGCACCAGTATTAATTTAAAAGGAAGCCAATGGCGACCTGCTTCCACAGACATGCGAGTTATTTTTCTTCGTAGCCAAGTGATGCCATTACAGCTGCAAGATGGTGGAAAAAAATCGACCAACAGTTCGACGATTCGACAGATTAATGTGGTGCTGTATTAACGAACATGTGACGAACACTTCGTGTCTTATAAGCGGTACACTCACTCTAAATTTTATTTTATTGCTGGTTTTTGTAATTTGAGGACACGTTTAAACTAAACGCTTTAAATGTTATTACAAAGCTTTCGTATTCTGTCTGAAATGTTTATGAATACCTAAGACGTGTAAACGACAAAGCAAAAGTTCAACATACCTGACATCTTCTTTGGCAAAAGAGGCGTTCAGAATTAAATGGATGTAACAACGGGAGACTGCTACTTGCTGCTTTCATAGGTTCGTATGTTATTTTCAGTCGTAGTGAAGAGATACCAGTGAACCACCTAAAAGCTCCTTCTGGACCAAGCAGACGATCATCCCACGCTGCAGTCTGCAAGGACCCTTTAAAACTATGTGTTGTAATATTTTGCGGCTGTAAAGTAACCCTAAAATTCCCGGGCGAGAATTAAACCAAGGATACGCCGAAGAAACAAGTTTGAAAATGTATATTTTTAATAATAAGGCTGTAAATAGTGGCCGTAAATATAATATTCTGCATCTCGTGTTCTATTTTGCGTAAATGTGTAAGTAACTGCCCAAAGTTATGTCCACGAGTTGGGAGTAACAAGCAGCTTGGTCAACCGCCGGGTTACTGCCTTATACACTACTAATTAGTTCAAACATCAAACTGCAACACTCCTGAAGAAAGCAACGCCAAGACGAATGCAAGCAGCCGGTTAATCTTGGGACAGTAGGTCAACACTTACTGTCGATAATGAGTGCGTTTTCGAGAGCCTATGTTATTCCTACTGATCAGTGTAGTTGGATGCGTTGAGTGTACTTACAATATCAGTGGTGTTGTTACCATGGAGGGCGGAAATGCCAGCTGCACCATACGTACATCAGCTTCCTCAATCACTTCCTAGAGAGTTCAACAGGTCAGTTCAATGCAGTGTGTAGTGTAGTATAGAATATTAACAAGTATGGAGTTGGGGTGAATGTTATTTGACTTAGTGTGGGCATAGATATTTCAGTTCTTTAGAAACATCGTTTTCTTGACATAATGAAAAACAATCCAGAGAATAAACGTGCAGTTTAATAGATACCTCTCCTTCGTCACGTGTTTGTTATAAAGTCAAATTGATTAGTCGCAATTGTATTGTAGCCGTGACGGCATTACTGGGCCCTGAAAGAAAACAAAATCGCGCCCCTATGGAAGAGGCAGTCACTGACATCAATAGATATCTGAAAACAAAGGCTGTGATGTTTAATTAAATATATAACAGAAAACAGTAAACGCTCAATTTCGCACAGCACCCGATGAACCACACACGAATGGTCTACGTCGTGCTTTATTGACCAATCAGATGTAAACGCCGAGCCAGTCGGTGATCCAAGAGATCTGTTAGTGATTTTTATGTTTACTTGTGTCCGAAAAAAAAGGACATGAGTTATGACATGTAATTCATCACCAACATCTACCTAATATCAACCAATGGGACCTGGTCATTTCACAGTGTCGGTGATCAAAGTTTCCATTGTGTCTCTACCCAAAGTGTGTGATAACATCGCATAAATAGCTCATTAGTGTGAGGTGAGTCGGTGATGTGTGTGAGTGACAGTGCACAGGGACCAATCACAAACCAGGCCAAGCCACCAGTCACTGCTCAGGAAATGCCTGGCCAGTTTAAATGCACGGGCGGCTACCTCCCTCCTCAGAACGACCGCCGCTCATCTTCAGCTTTCTATGACTGATTTGAAAGAGCAAACTTTAACTGACAAAGAGAGCAGACTGTTAACGGCATTGCAAGGTAAGATTTTAGTAAAGCAATATTTTGGAATAACGCACGAGTCAGCTCTTTTAAGGAAACGAGACTCAATAATGAAATGATTCGTTCGAATTACTAGCCTCCTTTAAGGTTCTCAACAAAGAATTGAAGATACCCTTTGAGGTGACCGAAGAGCTCGAATGACTATCCGAATCAAAGTTTGTTCAATAATGTTGAATTGTTGTTGAAAATGCAAGTGCCAGCTCTTGTAGTTTTTCTTCGTGTAATTCTAGATATGTTGTGCTCGGTAATAACTTGAGTGTTTTCAAACAAACCATGCTGGCTTCATATACAAAACATTCTGAAATTGATTTTGTGTTTTCATCATCCACGATTACAAAACAATATTTCTCTAGCAACGTGGTAGCTTTCTCTCCCCAGTCTTACTTGCTGTTTTTCCATTTTTCCAGAATAATTTGAAGACAATGCGAAACTATTGAGGTGCCTGTTTACCTTTGTTCATTATTGCCCTTTAGACCAAGATGGGTTGGTATGTAGAAAGCTAGAATGACATCATTGGTTCAGGATTGTTTCCTTATTTTCAAATATGTTTTGAGGAAACTATATTTTGTGCATTCTCTGGGTCTAGTATCCTGTAGATGAAGTGTGAGAATTATATAGACTGTGAAAGATGTGGGTTTAAGCATTAAGGGACATTGAGGTAAGCATTTGGGACTGACAAATACAGCAGTGTGCTGAGCATGTTCGTGGAGAAGATTAAGACATCGTTACGTTCCTACAATTCTTGCGTATGCACAATTTCTTGCACGCTGATTATAAAAAATCATTGAAATAGTAAACAAAAATGTAATTCATGTTTGTCCCTTGCATAACCGCAATACATTTTTATGGAAATAAATTTCAACAACTCAACAATTTATTTATGTTTGAGTATTATTTCACCACCACAAATTCAAAATTCTTGTCTTCGTACTGTGAATCATTTTGTCGTCTCCTTCGTCGCTAATATCTACTCAAGAGAAACACTACACCGAAACATATAATGGGAAATGCTCAAACCAGGCGACAGTCTGAAATCGTATTACATATTAACAATCAAAATTGATCACGGTTGGAATTAAATTGAATATTAGTAGAGGCAATGTGAACAACGAAAGCGTTACTTGAATAAGGAGATCGTAGCACGGCATGCCCGGGAAATTCCTGCAATAGTCCATAAATGTTTAGTTTCAAGTGAAAACACTACGTCTCTCATTTACCCCACATTGTTTGCGTGCCACCCAACCGTCATTCAGTTGGGAATGCCATGATATGGAATGCTTTCTGCCTTTCTGTTTTTATTTTGCAATTGTTTTTTTATGCATTCAAAATTAATAATGAATAAAAAATCAAATTAAGTAAGCAAAAAGTAGCTCAAGAACTATGACAGCAAAAAATTTCGATCGGGAATAGTGCAGACTTTATTTCAATAATGTTTGTCAACGATTTAAGCGCCTGTGAGGTATTCATGTATAAGACATTTCTGATCCGGTTTTCTGTTCTCACGTTTCTTGCATCTTTCAATGATAACGAAGGTGCTCATGAATCCCTTTCTTAGTAGCGCCAAGATCACATATTCTGAAGCAAAATTATTCTCATGAAACAGTTTGTTGCAATACATTTCTACAAAGCTTAATCTTAAATTACCGTGACTGCAGTGGCCTGTAGCCACAAATTTTGAGGTATTCCCACTACAAGACAACTTTTGAGATCTAGCTTTCCCTTTTCCCCAGTTTTCCATTTCTTTGTCCAATTCTTTCTTTTGTATCTGTAAAGTTTTTGTTTTCCTTTCATATTTTCCAACACGAAGGAGCAGTAATTGGCTAGACAGATTGATTTTTGAATATCATACTGCTAGAAATATAGTGTCTTTAATTCAAATTTAAAAACAATTGGTTTTGGCACTGATTTTAGCTTACATTCCCCCTTCATTTTTACCTGAACAGATTAGATGCGACATCAGGATAAGTTTCCTTCTAATCTCCTTTGTCTTCTCGTGTTTCGAGCAAATCAACAATATTATTCAGTAGGCAAATGACAGTCAGTTCATTTACACAAAGAATATCATTAGACAACTATCTTCTTTGAATTCGGCGTGTTTTGGAAGAACCTTTAATCAAAATGTCACAGAAAAGTCCCCCATACACCCCAACCCACTTTTTTACACGTGGAGTCTGGACGTTTATTTGTTCTCCTGTGATTAAGGTAAATGTTCCTTTTTCCTCCACTCGGGTAACTCTTCGAGCTTGAATTTGTTGATAATTTCACTGACTGTTCCTCTTCAGTTTGCCACAAATAACCCTGACCCCGAAATGCCCCTGAAACTGTTATTCTAAGAGGGGAAAGCATTGTTTAGACTATTTCAAAGATGGACCTGCACCGAGTATCGCTCATGGTTTTTGGCTAACCTTCGGGGGCGCACACTGAGTGTACAGTGTTAAACACACGTCGGGCAGGGCAAAATCCTCAAAAATCAATTTACATCTCCCCGTCCCGGTTCCGACTGGACGTGCCCCACGTCCCACCTCATACTAACGACCAAAGCGATTTCTGAATCTTAGCTGGAGATTTTCCTCCAGCTTATTAAATATGCACTGAGAGATATTTTATTGTTTTTGTAAACCCCACAGAAATGTGGCTGTCTGTGTCGCTTTTGCCTTACCTCTTTTGTGGGAATTCTTTTAGTTTTTATTTATTTGTATATGTTTTTACAGATGCAACTCTGCCTCACAACCACCCTTTCGACCGTAGTGCTCCTGGGAAGCTTCATTAAACTTCGAGCTGAAATTACAAGACCGGCTTCTACTGACGGTGATGGTCTTGGCTCTCAGGTGTGTCCCATGTGCTGTCAGGGACCTGCTGGAACACCCGGAATACCCGGCTTACCAGGAAACCAGGGCCTATTGGGACCTATTGGGTCGAATGGCGATCCTGGGGTCAAGGGGGAGAAAGGTGAGATTGGTCCAGTTGGGAATGCTGGTGAGGTTGGAGCTCTCGGGAATCCTGGTCCTAAGGGGGACAACGGAATAGGCTTTCCTGGTAAGACAGGTCCCAGAGGTCCAGTTGGTGAGGTGGGAGCTCCCGGGAAAGCAGGGATCAAAGGTCAAAAAGGAGAGCCAGGGGAGATGCCAGATGACTCCGTTCACCAGGTGGCATTCACCGTGATGCGGACGAGCGTATCAAGTAAATTTAGCAGTCTGGATAACCGCTTGGCCTTCGAGCGGGTCCAGACGCTTCTGCCGGCTACTAGCTTTGATCTTGCGACTGGGACATTTACCTGTAATGTGCCAGGGACCTACCTGTTCACCTTTTCTGTGTACAAATATAATCATGAAATTAACCTCTACGTCCAGCTTAGGAATAACAACAACATCATTGTCACTTGCTTTAGTCATGAGTCTATTTTAAGTGAGCACGTGTCTGCGAGCGCGGTGCTGGTTCTGCAACGAAGAGACTCAGTGTATTTGACGATGAAAGGTCAGACTTGGAGTGACAACAATCACTACACCTCATTCAGTGGCTTCTTGCTTTACGCCGAATAAAAAAAAATATCAAGCACTCGTGAAATTACAAGATTATGTGAGTGGGCGTACCCATGTTATACGGGATAACATGGGTATTTATCCACTACGTTTTGAGGCAGGGGTAGCATTGAACCCCCTTTCATTGTGAACAAATAATTACAGGGGACTGTGTAGATTTTGTTGGACTTCCTATCGATTACAAGTATTACTCCAAAAGGGAAAACGATAAAGACATAATTGTATGCTATTCTTGTTTCAGATTCTGCATGAATATAATACGTGCTAAAAGTGTTCATCTGTATCATAATCATCACTCCTGTACAGTTTTTATAAGGTGTCAGCCCCTCCCCCCTTTAATTTTCCATGCCAGACAACACCATGGATTGTGTGTAAGTTACTAGGGCAACTATCTTATACAAGATTCATTTATCACTCTGAGTTGCGTTAAAATTATGTGGCCAACACCATATATTGGCCTTAACCTATTAGTAATCAACACAATAACCCAGTTAAGTATTTCTTTGGGCTTCATTTTTTTTAGTTGATTACCCTCTGGTCATCTTTGTTCACAGTGTAGGCTTTTGCCAATGGCTCCATTTTTCAATCTACCTGTTGCATTAAAACAAACAATTCTTCCCTACATCCGTAGACTACCAAAGTTCTTGGTATCCTTGCAAAATATCCTAAATATTAAAAATGAATTTCTGGTTTCTTTTTACTTAAAGGGATCCTCACTCCAAACAAAACCAGGTAGTGGTATGCTTCAAAAATTCTGGAGCACTTCATTTCAAAGTTTGGAAACATGGGGATCCCCCTCCCTTTACAATTTGTCACTAGAAATTAGTTTAAGTGCAAACCTCTACACACGTTGTTAAGATCTTTCAAGTTTGTGACATGATGATACTTTGTACCTAAAACTGTATTTTCGAAAACTATTTCTGTAAGTCGTGTTTGATATCCAGCTGTTATTTACATCTGTACACTTTTTCCATTGAAATATTAACTCATGAAAGATGATGTAAGATTTAGTACCATGACTCGTGAGAAATTCCTCTTCGAGGCACTCTTACTAAAGCAGACAGTTTCACAATGCCTAAATTCCTTCATGAAATTATATTTTATATCTTTTACAGCTCCATAGCTTACACTTATGACGTACTGCACACAAACAGTGCTGCAAAGGGGCTCCTGCCGATTCAAATTTATTTTGGGCACTTTTGCCCCAAAGAGCGAGTTAAATATCATCCTAATTTTACAATGATATGTACCATTTTTTATGAATAGAATTTTGCCGCAAATCCAAAACAGATTTTTAAATTAAAGTAGATCTTGTCATGACTGACTTGATCGAAAGTCAGCAAATTCCACGATTTGATAAATTGTGAAATATTGAGTAACATTTACAGTAAAAAGCTGAAGTTGTTATTTCGCATTGTAGTGATAACCATGGTTTTATCCAGAAAAACATTTCTCACAATAAAACTGGGAGGAGAAAATTGATTATTGGTGCTATGTGTATATAGCGTTGTCTTCGTAATTACATCCAATGTTTTACATAAATCAATACATTAGCGCATTCCCCGAAACGTTTATAGCGCCCTCTCTTGACAATTACAACAACCCTTCCACACGCATTGTTCCGTGGGAGATGCCAGGGTGCGGTCCACCCAACCACAGAGGAAGGACACAGAAAGAGTTTGAACTGCCCGGGCTACAACATCTGGCCAACTACAACAGAAATTACCACGGACATAATTTGTCAAAAAGGTATTGCACCTCCCTATGCAAAAAAAAAAATAAATAGATAAATAAAAAATAAAAAAAATACCCGGCACTATCCGGCTTCCGTAAATTACCGCTGTATGGCATGTCCGGTATGTCCATAGCCAGAGTGTGGCGAACGCTTTCGATTCACCATATGTTTCACAACCGCGAAACCTTAGTACCCTACTCACTGCCGCAATTTGTCGCTGGTAATCTGCATCTTAAAAACTTTGTGCACTGAGGCATGGGAAATTGAATATTCATGCGTGCTTGGTATGATCTCATGACATCAAATTTAATGCTTGCGCAGTTGCTTGCAGTACAATGTGTGCCCTAAATCTGTATGTGCAGTCATTGACCTTAAAAAGCTCTTTCTTCCGGAGTAATTTTGAGAATAAATAGCCCAGTTGTTTACAAGATGCTGTGTTTTGTTTGAATCATTTTTATTATGGCATTTGTACAAAGCGTATCCTATGAGATTTCGCGATCACTCCCTGTGATGAAATAGCGCATATTGTTACTTATGAACTTAGCTTTCCAGCAGTAGTTAACAATTTTGTTAGCTAGTCTTAGCCAAATTCGTACCAAGTCTTTGAAAGCTGATATTGGTGGGAGGAGAATTAAACCAACTTTGCATAGTTAATGATGCAGTGTAACAAAAATTAAAAAGTTTATTTAAGATGGCAAAAATAGATCTTAATGCAAGGGATTCTTCTCACTCTATTTCCTGGTCACAGCAATAGTTTGTATGTAATTGCAAGCAAAAAAAACCAAAAAAAAATCAAGTGCTGCTAGGATATTACTGGCCCACCTTTCCGGCTAAGAGGCAGTTCTTGGGCATTTTTGGAACGTCTTCTATTATTCGCCTGAGTGACCAGGCGGCGACGATTATTGAATACTTTGAAGTGCCAGAGTTGCTACTCCTTCTGTGTCCTTCCTCTATGACCTGACAGTCCGAAGGTCTGATTGTCTGCCAGAACGATGGATGTAAAGTGAACAAGTACGTGGCGCAAAGTGCATATAGTATCGCCGCAATAGACCATGTTGTGTTTGATTTTACTTGGCAAACACTGTTTCAGTTCAAGAAACACACGGTAGGACCGTGTCTTTTAATTTTCTGCCTTGAATTGAGACAGATAATGTTTGCCCTTGGACCAAGCTCTACATGTACATGCATCGTTCTGGCTATGACGCCTTCCAATCAGCCTGCGAGCGCAAACGGCCAAAAGGGGACTTATGTGGGCGGGGAAACGCAGGATCTATTTATTCATTTCGCGGTCACAATTAATAGGGTAAACATTACATTTATGATGTTTTTGAAATGCTTACGTATTAATTGTTATTTTGGAATACTGTACACAAACTGAATGTTTTCTATTTCTGTAACCCTTTAAGGTCACAGTTGTTTATTCTGCTCAGTTTAAATGCAAAAAGTTAGCTCCGTTTGCTTTCTTTTCATGTGTTCTTCCTTTCATTTCCTCGTACCGTCCAGCCCGTTCTGATAAATTTGAGTCTATTTACTTCTTTTTTGGCAAGGCAAGTGGCCCCAAAATGTATACACAATCGTGAAAGACAGGCAACACGAGAACTGCAGAGATCTTCACCAACAGGATGTAAGCCCAGTCCCATACGTGACCAAACTCATACCTACGAGCATACGATTTATAGGTTCTGAGTACAACAGCTACTTTTACGTGTGTTTAACAAGGATCCCACACGTACGACGTATCTCGTAAGTACGAGTTCGCCGAAGGAGGGAGTTTTTTCATGATGCAACCTTTGGGTGTTTACGAAAAAAATGTCTTTCAGTCCGTTCAAGACAAACTTAAATCCAATCGCAATGTACGTCACATTCTTCATGTAAAAATTAAACTGCATACTCTGAAAAAGCTGAGTTTTTTGTCCAATCTTGCAGTGATGAGGTGGGGTGGAGGTTCAGTCCTCAGAATAACGCGTCTATACCATGTAGTAAAATCGGGGTCCGTATTTCATTTTGTCATTCGTTATCAGTCGAAATGTGGAATTTCACATTAAATCCGATAGACTATGGTTTGCTGTTACGGCCAATTGAAGTTCAAGGCCACACGTGTGTCAGCCAGCGACCACTTAACCAAAAAAAACAAAGAGAGAACCAGTTGGCCGACAAAGCCGCTGTGAAAGATAATGTTTTTTCTCAAAAAAGGCGACAAATGAAATTGTGTGTGTGTGTGTGGGTGTGTGTGCGTGCAAAAGCTCAGGGTGTTCGAAAGAAATGCACTGTGACGATAATAATGATATGAAAAAAAAATAAACAAAAACAAAAAAAAAAGTTTTACCGGATTTGAACCTCTTTGACGGGTAAAGTGCATACAGTAGCTTTCTCCCTGTTGGTGCAAAATAATATGGGCACATGTCGAGTTTACATGTTAATTTGGGCCGTGTAAACAGATAGGTTTCACGTTCGCTAACATAATTGGCTCTTTGAGACTTAACAAAATACAGAACTGGGAGATGAATGAATATGTTTGTGTTTTTCGTTTTTTCATCAGGTGGATTTTTAGGCAAAAGACAAAAGCAAATCTACATATATTCTGATACAAGGGAATTCATATACAACACATCACCATTAAAAGTGCATAAAGTTTCACAAGATAGCGACGTTCGTTTATTAAACAAATTTCTTGATATAATTAATGACACATTTTTACAATAAGAACACCACTAAAACTATGATGAAATGAACAATTTCATTTAAAGCAACCTTTGAAGCCATCACTTCAGAACATAACTTTTGACGTTAGGTTTGGAACCAAAATACAATTTGTAGTAGGCCAACAAGGATAAGTCAGAGAAATGGACGGATGTACGGTAACTTGTTTCAATTAATGTTAAACCAAATAGTGCTACGATATTCATTTTTTTTTCACGATATACCAGTTAATTTGTTACAGCACAATCTGCATTCTTTAAACATTTTGCACGCAACTATAATATACAAATGAATATTTATAATTACAATAGTAAGAAATATTAATTTGTTATACACGTTATTCAACTGTTGTGTGTTAACTTATAGGCTTATGTTTTGCACGCTGCAAACCATTATCAGGGCAGAATTTCCATTCTATGTAAATACATTTCCGTTTGTTCGAATCTCGTTTCAGTTGTCGAATTCACAAAGACTTGTTGAGTTTCGTGACGTCTAAGGCTTAGGAGTCTGTTTCGTCATCCAGTGGTAGTGAGGCTGGTTGGGTTCCGTAAACGGGGTTGCTGAAACTACCACCTCTTGGCTTCTGCAGATGACATGAACGTGAGCAAAATTTAAAAAACTAAATAAAAATACAATAATTAAAAAGAAAATTGGCAGAGGCCTGGACTGACTCTGAGATCAAAAGCCTGGGAAAAAGCATCGCTTCACTTTCTGATCTGCTGGTTTTACTCGATCGCATCGCAGTCAGGAGACCTGACCAACATTACGGTACGAAGAACCATTGAAGCGTGATATGAACGAAATCCGTGTACCTAGTGTCACGGTTAATCTTTACGAAAAAAACCCAAGAAACTTTGTTTTATAGTGCAGGAAAACCTCAGGTTTTCTCTCACATAATGACCATTTTCGAGAGAATGCCAAAGCGAGTGACGTCCAAAAAAAAAAAGAATTGCAGACTTGGGTCTTTTTAATGCAAACTGAAGAAAATTGTTTGTGTCATTGAATAAAATACATCCTTGCCAAAAAAAGAAAAGAATAAGGATTATAATGCACAAGCTCCGAGTCTATTTGAACTCTTACCGCATGAGGCACCTCAAGCTTTGATGAGAACATCCCTGGATCATAGCCGGCGGCGGCAAACTGGAAGAAAATTGCAAGAGGCAACCCATTATTTCTGTTGGCTTCAACTTTACCAAACACGCATAGGCCTATACTATTTACCTAGATAGCCATTTCTTTTTAGTTCAAAACAGCATGAACTAAGACGGTAAGGCTTCGTGTGTTATTCTCGGCTTCAGACAGTAATGTTTTAACTCGCGTGGGGTCGGATTTTGAAAATACTACTGTTATTGTCTCATTTCTTTTGGTTTCACCAGCCTTACGAGCTTAAGCACCGCACAAGAACCTTTGGTTTCATTAACAGAAATTATCAGCAAAAATAGTAAGTTAGTGAGGGCAAAGTCGCAAGCAGTTACGGAGTGGACTTCGCTTATTACAGCATCTACTAATGTTTCCCCTTTTTCATCCTGAAAGAAGATTACAAAAAAAAACTCTGATAGGTGTAACTGAAATAATTAAATACAGATTCAAATGAGGTTGTCATTCAAGAGTGCTTTATAAAATTCGGTTATAATGTATGGGGATATAGTGCTAATCAGGAGATGGGTCACTTTTACGGTTCTTCTTTTGAGAGACTTACATCGGTGAGAATATTCTCTCCGAGATCACCAACGTAAGCGGGGTTGCTGACGGCATGTTCATTTGCAATGTCACCAAAACGCCTACAAGGTTGGAGAAAATACGCATGGAATCAGTATGGAGCGAAGTTAAATGGTAATTGCACTCAAAAAGTTGGAATCAAGTTTCAGAATTGTATTTGGTAAATCAAAGAGTTGGATATATGCAACAGGGATTGAATGACCTGAATGAATATAAACAAAAAAGGTTTGCGGGTACATCATGTGGGAAATATCTCTTTTGCGAAGAGGTGTGGTTCTTACACTCCCACCATGCAAAGCTTGAATGAATATACTTTTGTTGAAGTTTATTCAAATGGCGTATGACTCGACGATACTAAATTACTTCCAGTTATATGAAGATCCACGTTGGCATGATTGAAGTCCCCGTTGAGAACGTGTATAAATACGGGTGTGCACACGACCTGCTAAGCATTAAACACACTCTAATTTTCCAAATATAAGCCGTAGCATATACGTTGATTCTCACGCTGAAATATTTCTCTGCGGCTTATACGCCAGGCGGCTTATATGGCAAACTACGAAGGATAAAATCAGTGACAAAAGCCGCGGTCGGGCCATGCCTATCACATGCTGCTGGCGCAGTCATGTTTTCGTTGGTTGCCGCATAAAACTTGAAACCTGGAGAACAAATAAAAATTCGAGTGGTCTGGATTTCCGAGTTTATTAACCGAGTCATGGAGTCACAAAAAACTTAAATGTGTACGTAATCATAAAGTTTACTTGTTCTGCTGTAGCATCAATTCTTAGAGATTATTTTCCCACTTTTTATTCATTATCATAGTGTATTTTTGCACACAGACAACCATTTTACAAAGATTTTTTTATTGTCGTTACCTGAGATTTTTTCTACCGTTACACAAAAATCAACCACTTCAATGGTGTACCTTTTGTGTGGCACATCTTTTCGCCGATCGTATTAAGCGTGACATGCCACAGAATTTCGAATTTGTTTTCACTCGGTTTTTCTGACGACAACCATTTCCGCAACACGAACATGCAACACAAGTCGCCTAATGCCTTCAACCAAGGTCTCGCGGTGGATTTTTTTTATTTTTGAAGCAATATGGCGGTGTTGTTTGATGCGCGTCCCAAAAACCTCGAGATGAAGGGATTCAGTGTTGAGGACAGTTATGGAGGCTTTTTTTTTTTACATAAAAGCCTATTCTTTTGGCAAGAAATCGACCAACAAGATGAAAAAAATCCTTGACTTAACTGACTTCAAGTTATCAAGATTTTATCGTACGTCCCCAACTGCATAACTATTGTGGCTGCTTGGGTAAAAACGTGCAAGACCTGATGCACGGCCCATGCAGGACAATTATCCACACTGCAAATTTATTACATTTGAGGACCCAAATTCATTTTTGATCCTGGTGACACTCACACTCACACGGTGACACAGACACGCACTTCTTTCACATTCGTTAGGATTACACGTACAGTGGAACCGTTGACGCACTAATTTGTTGGCCTATTTTACTGGCGCTTCGGCACGCAGTACCTTTGTGGTTGGATCGTCAGCGCCGCGTTGGGGCTTAAACACCCGTGCAGCTTATATGACGGCTTTAAATCTCAGTTTGCCGATTCTTGCGTGGTGCGGCTTATACAACGCACAGCTTATATTCCAAAAATTAAGGGTACTCAGAAGTTACAGCACTTGCAAATACATTGCCCATTGTACAACCTCTACTTACAACTCTGCCAAGGACATGTATTCCAAACAAGTGCCGGTTAATTCCTTCATATTCCAACCACCAGAACAAAAAAGTATTTCATTTTTCTCGCCAACAAACGCAACGCACACTTTGACGCCTGATAGTTTTCAACCCTTTGCAAGGTTAGCGTTAAAAGAAAAGAAAAGAAGTTCAAATTGATATTCGCACTTACTTCTTGTGCTGCACTCTCTTCGAAAACAGGAACGCCACCAGTAAGATGAGAATGATGGCTAGGATTCCGGCAACGACAGCAATAGCTACAATTACAGAGTCTGATAATAGGAAAAAATGACTTGCGTTGAATACATGTACCCAAAAATCAATAAAAGTGCAATGACTGGAGGAGTTTATCCATTTTACAAGAGCAGAAAACAGGCGTCTTACCTCAGAAAATTTTCTCCATCTGGGAGTGTGCTGTTGTAAAGTTGTCAAATGCCAATTTTTTTCGGGTTGTGAAAACCACTACAGGCTTTTTGACCCGTCCAAGCACTTTTTTTTGCTCTTATGAAAGTGATGAATTGACGGTGGCCACATGAAAGCTGTTCAGTATGTATTTGTTTCTGGATCTGCCAGGTTTAAAGTTTCATAGGGATGATCATGCGTAAGCCTTGCATTTGTTGAGTGAAAAACGTTGATAAAATGGTGCTGTGCCAAGTCTGAAGAGATAAATTGAAGCCAAAAAGTGTGGGTCTTACATTATTACATTATAAGAGGCACAGTCGTTTCATACAGGTTTAACCTGTGTAAGATATTAGGCTCACCGTTTGAACCTGTCTGCGGTGCGCCTGTGGGTGGGTTGGGCTCTGTGGCGTTGCCTAGATAAAGGAAAACATTGATAAATGATGAGGTCACATGAGGGTACATAGCACCATAGACAATGGTACCAACTCGTAAAAAGATTCTAAAAATGCTTCTAGTCAACAGTGTCTATACGTCAGATGAACAAAGAGAAACTATTTAACATGCATTGAAACATATTTATGTTCTTTTAATGTAGATCCCAATAAACAAGTATAATATGCTGTCGATTTAAGTCGTAAAATTTACATATATATCCAACAGACTGATCCATTAAGCCCCAACACATTGTGCTCTGACCGTTGATAACCATGATTTACTACATCTGATAAGTGTGCACAACACCATGAAATCATGGAAGCTAAATGACGCATGATGCACTCGAATTTAACATGCTGCACTGTGTGGCATTTGAAAAGAGCATGTGTCGAGTGCCAGTGAGCACAGTGGGCGGAGCTTACCGGGTTGGCCAACTTAATTACTATCAGAAAAATCAATATTTCATGCTACATATTCTGTCACTGGATTTTAATATGATGGCTTGTGTAAATGGTCCCTCAATGAGGTGGCTGGAGTGGTGGGAAATACTTACTGCATCCAAGAGCTGTTGATTCGTCTAAACTGTCTCTTGGGCAATCCACGATGCCGTCACAAACCCACGATGAAGGAATGCAAATACGATCGTTCGGGCAGAAGACGAAACTGCCGTCCGAAACACCGCACATTCCAGGAATTGGGGTCGGCACTGGGGTGTCTGAAAATCGTCAGAATGTGAAATAGAGCAGACAATTATCAGGCAAGGGGGAAATCGCAAAATGGGAATCTTTCATTAACAACCTCCAACGACAGTAGATTGTTACATTAGCCATATCAATCTGGAGGATGTTCGAACCCCCGACGACGGTTTGAGATGGTTTCCATACAGTTCAGTGTCCCACCGAGAGGTTGTCTAGGAGTGGCCTTTTTGCAGTGCATAATAGGATAATTAGTCGACAAAGTGTCATTCGCTAATTACGTCATGTGTGGAAAACTTGTATATTTTCTGAATGTTTGTTGATCTTGGCTGGAAATTTGAAACTGCTTATTTGCAATATTGCGAATGGCCATTTATAGTTAAAACTAAGGATCTGTGTGGTGCAGGGAACAACCCAATCAATTAAATATCCCTAAATTATGCACAAAGTGCGCTTAATCTCGGTAGCAAGTCGACTTGAAAAGTGGCCTGTCTGCGGAAAAGTCATGGTGGCGCGCTGTATCGTGAATGGCATGTATTAGCAATTTCTTATCTCAGAATTGGGCGTAGCGGCGAATTTCAGCAACGACCGTTTGTCGACTACTGGTCTACTTTTGCTGGTAACCTATGCATAAGCCACATTCTGGGTACCAGGCAAAACGTGAATGACAAATTGTTACCCAAACTTGCTCTGAGTCCTAAGCGGTTCACACTAATTGCATACACATCCACACAATTACGAACAAGGTCAGACAAAAGCAAGGCCGTGGAAAATCATCTTACACCACACCTGTCCAGATCACTTTGGCAAAAAAACCGGAATTATCTCAGTTTGCAGTAAAGATGACAATACAGTATGAAATATGCCAATCTTGTAAAGACATCCCAATTTTCATATGGCATGAAGTGATTAATCAATTATATATACGTCAAAATCATCAATATTGCTTTGGTAGAACCTTTTGAGGACAGAAGGCAACTTTTCGACAAACTCACCAGGACTGACGCAGCTGGGAGTGAACGTGACATCATCAAGGGCGATATTCGATGCTGTGTTGCTGCCTACGGCGCCCTCAAACACCACCTTGTACTTGCCACTGCTGAGGATCGCTGCACTACCGTAAGCCCAGTCGTTACCCTGGTCACCACGAGTGCTCCAGATAGGGGTCATGATAGATGTAGTTGTAGACATGGTGTACACCTTTTGTGAAAATCCGAGAGACAGAGAAGTATAAAAAAGTGACCAAACCTGTAATGGACATATATAACATAGGGCGTTATAGATGCTTTCAATATTGAGTTTACCTTGAGTGAGCCAATGTTTGCACCATTCATGTGGTACCAGAAGCGTACCCTGCAGGCACCGTTGCTCGCAGGGTACTCTGAGGCTGTCATCATTCTTGCCAGATCCCCAAGAAGCTGATCGGATCCACTGATGTACATGAACTTGCCACCTGTAAAAAGAAGTCCCAAGAAATGGACCTGAAATAATCGACTAAAAAGCAGTGGATTCGTTCCAATGATGCAAGGTTTCCATTTTAATTTTACTTCTATACACATGTACAGTCATTTGCAAAAGTTTAAGACCACTGGGAATTTCGTTGGAATTTCTATCGCTGGGCCTGTAATACCTTGTCTCATTAAATGATCATTTATTTTCACAACGGTGCATAACATCAGTGTAGTGCTATGTACCCCTTTGAATGAAATGTTTTCAAAGGCAGGTCTTGTACGACATTTTGTCTGTAAGGTAGCATGGGTAAAAAACTAGTCAAAGTAATCAGAAAATAAAGGAGGGCACACTAAATATTAGACTAACATTTTAAACCATGGAAATGTATTCACATAGCTCATAAACAGTGTCGACAGTGAATTAGGCCCTATGTGTCACCTTTGCCGTGATCTTCACTGATGCCCGACGTGCTGCTTGAAAGGAGCCAATCAAATTCATCGTCAGTCATCTGCGCCCAGTTACATGCATCATTGTCAAAATCGCAGCCTGTGTATGAATCTAAAAAAGAAAAAGCACCAACAAAACATCCTAAAGAATTCCGAACTTCTAAAAGCTATACCTATGTTATGAAGTGCAAAAAATACCATTAATTCAAGTACCAAGAAAAATGACTTTATCTAATTATTTCACCATAATTCAAACCCCAAGTCTCAAGTCTTCTGGTGTTGATGTGATCTACGACTTTAAGGCTTAGCAAGGACGGATGGCCAGTAGAAAAATACTAAGAAAGTGTGAGCCACAATCAAGCACATTGTTTCAAAGGTATTGTGGTAGGACAAGATTCTATTTGACTGAGCAAGATTCTATTTGACTGAGCAAGATTCTAGTGGACTAAGCAAGATTCTAGTGGACTAAGCAAGATTCTAGTGGACTAAGCAAGATTCTAGTGGACTGAGTAAGATTCTAATGGTCTTACCACAGGAGTTTTCATCTGACCCATCAAAGCAATCTTGTTTTTTGTCGCAGAGCACGTCACGCATCACACACTCTCCGCTACTACACTTGAACTGGTTGGCATTGCAGGATTCTTGCTTGCTGAGACCTGATGGATAGAGAAAGAACAGCACGACTCTTTCGTCAGCTTTCATAAGATTCTTTATTTTGAGGCCTTCCTTTTGCCTCATTTCCAGGAAATGGGTCGAGACGATTTGTTTGACTGATTTCTTTGTCATTGAAATGCGTAATCAATTTCTGGCTCAATGGGCATGATGGAATCTGCCTACAAAAGATACAAGAAACTAAGTCAGCAGTTAAGTGAGTTTACAACTCATCATGAAGTGGCACTATTGTGTGTAACTGGTCGCTCAGCACCATCTGCAAATAAATCCTACATGAAATTTAATATTGAGTCCATTTGTGAATAATCTTCTAAGACAGTAAATGCGAAAGTAAAGGCGATTGGCATTTTTTGGGCAAATTATTGAAAGAACGTGCAATAATCATGCAATTGCGCAGACTGACTGCTCATGCTCACGAATAACAAATGATACAGGTTTTTACAGCCTTATAATGATACAACGTATAACTTGTTCACAAGGATAGCCTTTATCAGCTCTCAGTAGTTTCATTTTTAAGCATTTCATTTTGCTTAACTCTAACAGTCCTCAGTCCTCCAGCAGGTGAAAGATTGAGGACTGTTAGGGTTAACGAGAGAAATTAGACGCAAATCTGTAATAAGCCTTTTGCGAGTTAAATTTGAATAGAGTCTGGTACACTGTGCTATCTTATTTCACATGAACATAACAATTTGAATTCCCAAGACTAACGACACTACCTCGTGATTTGGGGCAAGCTTTTGCATAGCAACCACAATCTCTGGATGGACCGGTTCCTTTGTGCCCTTCGCATCCATTGAAAACAGTGTATTGATGCAAGGCGTCTCTTATGTAACTAAGCAAATTAAAACTTGCCCTGAATTACGAGGTACAGTAACAGTGTTCGTAGTATGGAGAATTCAATTTGTTATGCTCACGTGCTTGTGGAGAACTCGGTGACTCGCAAATGGCTTATTAAAATGAGCAACTTTAACTCACCGATTTCACACTGTTGCGCAAACTTAATATCGTCAATGGCGATGACACCCGAGCTGCCTGAACCATACACAGCCTCAATATGAATGGCAAAGTTGCTTTGTTCGCCAATCGTAATCTCATTGGTTGACTGCCAGCTGCCAAGCTGGTTCAAGCTCTGAAATATCTTCTAAAAATGTAGAAATGCATATTAGCAAGTTTGTAAAGTCTTTGTCAGTAGGATGGTTTGCAAATGAGAAACTTTCACGCAAACAATTACCATAAAAACTGGTTACTTTCTTTTCCATTTCACTGTCCGTAAAATTGAACAAAAAGAAAAAATGACAATCTGAAATCTTTGAATAAAACAGAGAAATATTGTTTTATTTTTATAAATAAATACAAATCTGAACATCTGAACTCTGAAAATATTTAAGACATCTTAAAATATCATTACACATATTTACAAATAAATATTTGATTATATATTTGAGTGGTCAAGCATTTGAAAGCTCTATTCTAGAAAACCATGCAGTATTAAAGTTGATGTAGAAATTGCTAAATTACATGAATAGTAACAAAAAGGTGGCCAACATCGACCGTATTATGGAACATTTTAACCAGACTGAGCATCTATGCACATCCTACTTTATATAAGTGAAAAGTGCAGAGGGCATGTAATAATTTTGTTTTCGTTTAAATGAGCATAAAACTTCAACACAATTTCGAGAGAGGGATCCAGTATTAAAACCAGGAACATACACAACTACGAATATATTCCAGATGTTTTTAAATGTTAATACCTGGCTTGAAGTTGAGGCTCCAGTCTTCAGGTAAACATTGATGGAATTGAGTGAATTGCCATTCAAATAAAAGAAGAAAGTAACGTCACACAGGGCGCTGGATTTCTGGTACATCAGAGAGCTTAGAATGGCTCGCCCGGCATTTGCAAGGTTCGGTAGGGGCACAATGACCATGAAATGACCTAAATAAAATCATTAACAACGAAAGGAAAAAAGAATGCTCGAATTTGAGGGGTTTTTGAGTTCCACAAAATAATATAAATGGTGCTTCAATTGAAAATGCAATCAATTAAAGTGGCTATTTTGGTCAAAATAGCATCAAACCGTAGACCCCTTTATTATTACAAATAAAAATCAAAGTGCAGGATGTCCTTAAAATATTTTACGGAGGGCTTAATTAATGGTAACTCGCTTAGAAGAAATTGCGAACATGTGACAAGCAGACTTTGGGGCATATCTTATACCTTGACTCGTTCCTGTCGTGTGGTCAGCGACTGGTTCCCCATTAGTTGGTTTACCATAGCGCCACTCAACACGATCCGAGAATGCATTGTACCATCCGCAAGCGTTGCTGTCGGTCTCAAAGGGACACTCGGACCCTGGGATATGGAACGGGGATGTCAAATGTTGTTGATAAATTGGATTGTTAAGTTCATGCCGAGATCTTGTGCCAAATATTAGGTCTTTGTCACTTTCGAGCAGGTGACCAATGCTGATTAACATGCATAGCCCACAAGCAAATGCCGGGCACTGTGAGTGCAATTAATACAAAAATGCATTCAAGTTGCTTTGTAAATCATACGCGTCATATTTTGCAATGCTCTCAAAGCCAGGGTTTGAGTGATATTTTTGCTACAACTTGCTCGCCGCCGCTGCCAAGTTTAATTCTCAGTCTGCCTCCAAAGACTTCTCCGACTGCTTGTGCATACATGTGTGTACACCTTATACGGAGCGGTAAGCATGTTTACATGTTTGGCTATAGTGGTTCAGGGCATGCATGGCGGTTCAAACGAAAAAAGAGCAAATTTCAAACCGACATAACAGGGTTGCAGCAAACTTTCTGTAGAGTTTAAGGGTATCCAACTTTTAAGAATAAGCATTATGAATATTTGATCTGCCTTCACAGAATCCTATTCCTGTTTGCTCGGAGAATATACTAGCCTATTAATAACCGTTAGCTGTTTTTTCCAATGTAGACTTCCAGATCACGTTCATGTATTCTCTGGCTTGAAACAGGAAAGTTGCAAATGTATGAACCGTGCTCTTATTTTATTTCAATGGATACACTCTTATTCCCCTTCGTTACCGCATGTGGTCTCATCAGACGAGTCGCTACACTGCGACATCAGATCGCAGTGCTGCGATTGGCTGTAGCACCCAGCCGACGTCAGGCATGCGTACCGGCCATCGGGGCAGTAGAAGTTGGTGTCACCTCGCAACGGCTCACCAGGAAGGCCACTTCCCTGGGAATCGATTGCAATAGGGAAAAATACAATGAAAATTGTACAACAGCAAATCATGGGTATAGAATTATGGAAAAGAATTAGGAAAATCAGGAAAAGTAAACAATGAAAAGGGCTAATGGCAAAGTGGCAATAAACGATGGGCTGTACCATGAACGCAGGAAAAACTATCATGGATAAGGTAGAAAAATATGAGAAAAACACATCAAAATTAAGAAAGAATTAAAACAAAATGAAATAGAATTCAGTGGCAATATTTTTATCTTGAGTGTTCTATCTACATTATAAATCTAATGAATGAACAGACACAAGTTGTTCGACAGCAAATTAAAGTCAAGCCAAAACAATTTAGCTGATCACAGGTTTCGTGCTCTGGCGAAAGGCATATCTTCATAAGTATGTCAAATTAATATCCTCATATCTAAGTTTCAGACCATATCACCTGGGTTCACTACAAAGTAATAGATGCAGCAGCTACAATAAATAGGTCAAGGCAATTTTTCAAAATCAGCAAACAATATTGCTTTCTGGTCCATATCTATCGTGACCGTAAACATTGGAGGGTTTCAATTAACAGAATCATTCAAAGACGGGTGACGTAAATCCATGCTTCTCGTCACAAAACTCTCCTTCAATTAAATGCTTACAATGAAACATTCCCTTGAGAAGGAGACATCATCGATGGCTACAGCGCTTTGTGGACTGGCACCAGAAATACCCTCAATGACAATCTAGATACATATAGCCGGTGCAATAAAAAAAAACAGTCAATCTGGTGAAATATCAATCAGACTATTTTCAAGTCTGTAGTTCATCACTGCAACTAATGTGAAATCCAGTCAATCACTGAAGACTCCATGATTCTCCATCGTAAGTCAAAAAGTCATTCCAAAGTCTGTAAAAAGCCATTCGGGCAAGTTTAATATAAATTTGGTGAAATGAACAGTGACAGAGAAGTCAATCCTTTGTTCATGTTCAACATTACTGCACCGTAAAAAAGTTGGTCAAACAGTGTTGGGCATTTGTTATTTGCCAAACCTGGGTTAAAGCTAAAACACTGTTGGTCAATTTCCATCACTGTTGGTCAAACATTGACCAAATATTGGGAGGAATTTGCCCAACGGTTGCTGAAGTTGGTATTTTAGCAACATTGGGCAAAACATCAACCAAAAAATAACCAATCGTTTTACAGTGTTGGATGAACTCGACCTACATGTACAACTCTGGTTCAGTAATTATAATAACTAGTAACTATGAAGTCAAAAAACATCGGCACACATGAAGCAGGCCTCTAGCTGAGAAATAACAGTGAATGGGCTATGAAAGAGTTCGTTTGAGTACTTTGTGACTACGGACTGGACAATAATTAATTAACTTCATTGCAAGTCGGCAGTACGGCACTCTGCCCTTTACAGCCTCTGTGTCCAAAATGTTTCAAAGTTTGGAAGATATGATTCAAAATAGATTCTGTTTTGATGTGACCCCAAACATTTCAGTATGGAAAGCTGTCCGACTTGCCTCAAAGTCCACCCCTGGATTGTTGACCGGCAGAGACCTCAGATGCCAAGTGTCGCCTTGGGAACCGGTGATGCGGTCCATCTGAGGCAGAGCGTTGCTAAGATATGATGTACGCTGGCGGACGACGATAGTGCCCGCATCCTCCCCGTTCATGTAATACCAGAAACGAACCTGTGCAATGAGATATTATCAGTGAACATCTAGTCGGTGTTTAAGTTTCTGTCAATTAAAACCAAGGTCAGTTTATATGTATCACCTGTGTTTCAGATTTGACCTGGTTGCTATAAATATTGTTAGATAATTGGATAAACTTAAGCCTGAATTTTCCTTTTTCTTTGAAAGATAGTTGTCTTCAATGTTAAAAAATACAAAACAATACTCCTATGAATCCCATTTCAAACGGTTCTTTCTTTGTGAACAAAATTTTGCTCAAAAGTATATTTATTTATGTAAGAACTGATTTTTCCTTCAACTTGCGAAAACGACACATAGAAGCACTTCAACATGTGTAACTAACCAAAGATGTCTCGGAAGTTGAATGAGCCACTTTTAAGTGAAGGAACCTTGAAAAAAAACTTGCACAATATATTCGTCAATTATATAGGCACTTTCGACATTGTCCAGCCACGTAATGTGTAATTTTCAACTGGATTCCAAAAAAAGTAAGGCATTGAAATGAAGAGCTCTGTTTGTTATTTCTATTGAAAACTAAAACAAAATAACATGACAATTTGAAATAAGACCCATTTTATGTTTTTTATGGATATGCAGCCATTATGTCCCTTTATCCACCTGCTATGGAGTTAAAACAACTAAACATGCGGACTTACATAGCAGTTGTTACTTAGTCTGCTGATGGAGGGACTACCCAACCTAGCGATGTCTGTACTCCGTCTAGGCCGGGAGGAATCAATGTACAAGTAGTTGCCTGAAACACAACGGTTTAAAGAATTAAAACCTTTAGTTCTTTTGTAAATTAGTTGCAATAAGTAACATCCTCCAAACCCCAAAAATACATTGTCCTATTCGTTTCTGAACAGTAAACTTTGATAAGGAAACTTTTATTTATTCTTTATCAAATTTGGAACTAGTATGAAGGTAGCAACCATGTAGAACATAATCACTTGGCGGTATAGTGTTCATGTATTAATTACAAAACAAAATTGTGACTTCAGACCTTTCAAAACTTAACTTTCAAAACTAAGCATAAAAAAGCAGTGTTTACTTTGGTTTGTTATTTTGAAACTCTGAGAAAATGTTGCAGAAAGACTTTCGCCTCCACACACGGCACTTCTCACCTTTATTTGAATTCTTTGTGTGGTCATTTATTGGTCCAACGCTCATCCCTCCAGCTCCGTCTTGCCTCATCGACCAATCAAAATCATCATTATATTCCTGGTGCCATTTACAAAGGTCGGCATCAAAACTGCAGCTCAATGTTGTGGCTGGAAATGAGAGTAACTCTGCTTAAAATTGATGCTTTCTATTACATTCAAATTATTAGTGAAGCAAATAAATATGTAGAAGTGTACATGTGCAGAATCCAGCCCCGTTTCACTAACCATTCCGTATGGACCCTTTAATGGCGGAAAGCGCTGTGTTCAGTTTTGTATGGAGTGTCTGTCACAGAACAATGGCGCTATACAAAAGTTATAACAATGCTTTTCTGTTTTTCCATTCCTAATTTGAAAAGGTTCTGGTCATAAACAGGTAGTTGGTGAGAGTAAAATCTGCAGTGAGTTAACTTTAAGTGTTGAAGTCCATCACAAGTCCTTGGAAGTCAAACTCAAGTCATCTAGTTCAAAGCCAAGTCAAAACTCAACAAACTGAAACACGACAGATGCATTTCTTTGTCAGTGTTTACCCTGTTTTCTTTTATTATTGGTCTGCCGAGGGGATTTGGGAATGGATTTATGATGGACTTGACTACCAGACTGGTTCAGTGACAGATGGGATCTGTCACAATTTGTCCAACTTACGACAGTTGAGCTCGTCGCTTCCGTCCATGCAGTCATCCCGGAAGTCGCACACTGATGTCGCATCGACGCACAGCGAGTTGCTACACTGGAACTGGTTGTCATTGCATGGCACGCCGGTGACTGGTGGCGGGGAGCAGCTGTAGAACGTGATGTCATCAAGCGAGATGCCACCAGAGTAAGTGGTAGATCGCCTGGCTTGGATGATCACCTGCACGAACAAGAAATGATTGTTCAAATTGAGGCCTGCTTTATGCACAGGGGTCTTTCATGGCAAGATACATGGTAAAAAAAACGGTGGGACTTACACTGTAGTCCCTGCCTGCGCCGAGTACGAATTCTGCTTTCTTCCACTGGGCTCCCTGCGAGCCGCTGATGTAACCTATGGTTGCATTGGCTCCAACCTGCGATGTGGCAACGCTCAGCGAGCCCACATTGGTGCCCGTCATGTAGTACCAGAAGTCCAACTTGCAGTTGGTGTTTGTTTCAGAGAGAGTAGCTGATGTCATTGTGGCCACACCTGCTGTGTTGGACTTGCTCATTGTGTAGGCATAGTATCCTAAATACAAGGCAAAAAGACAATAAACCTGAAAATTTGCCAATCGAATAATGTTTGTTTTTCTGACAAATGAGAAGACAACGAATTGTACAAGAACACAAGATCTACCTGAAACAACATTCAGACATCGGTGACCTGATATACACAACTTCAGAGAGTTATTGGGCACCTTAAACACACCAAGAAATTTAACCCAAATTATAATATATATAAAAATGGACAGAGAAATTGATTGGAGTGGGAGTTGAACCTCTCACCCCAATGACCCCAACAACACTGTCCCTATGTTCAACCAATTGAGCCATCCAATTCTATACATTCAGTCTCCGCATATATCAATATCTGTGACAAACACATCAATATACCTTGTGTGGATAGTCTAATGCTTTCTTGTATGATGAAGTAAATGTTACTTATTACTTAATGTTACTTTTTCTCACACTCTTAACACACTTATCAGCTGGACTTCTGTTGATGGTTTCCTTGAGTGTTCCTCTTTGTTTTGTGAAAGATAATCTTGAGACGAAAATGCCCCGGTAACTCTTTTTTAGAGCTCAGGAAAGGTTTTTAAGGACCTGGCTTAGTCCTTACAAGGTTCACACAACCTGGATTGTGAGGACCTACTCTGTCATCAAGTTCAAATGGTGTATAAACTAACTTGCACAAAGAAATTGACGGCAAAAGATCTTGGTGGGTACGTACCAAGGGTGGATTGTGAGGTGTGGTCAGTGGCTGGCCGGTTTTGGTCACCTCCATTGCCCTGGGCCAACAACCAATAGAAATCCCCATCTGCCAACATCCAGTGGCATGAGCCTGCATCAAAGTCGCACTTGGATTGAACTACAAATGAAGGAAAAACCGATGTAATAATGAGGACACCATCAGAGGTCTAAATTATGGGGAAAAAAACATGACTTGTGCATGGGAAAAATTCAAAATTCGTATTAACGGTGAGAAGATCTGGAAAAACAAACAGAACCAGGTATGGGCCGCAAGACTGTGATATACATGTAGGAAATGGAAAAATGAGCAAGGAGCTGAACCTTTTTTTTAAACAATACTATGTACCTTTCACTTATGTTGAAAAAACAGGAAGAGACAAAAATATTTTTCTGACAAAATAATTGAAATCTTTATCCTTGTTTCACTGAAAACCTTGACTTTTGAAAGATCTTTTTCTCAGAATGTAACCATTTTTGGCATTTTGATGAATGATAATGATGTTGTAACACATTTCATTTTTAGGAACATCAGTTTTGTTCCGCTCAGAGAAAATTCTGTTTTCAACCTCTTCCTAGTTCAACCTAATTTTGCCAGCACATCTCCCATTCGGGCCAGAATGTCGCTGGATGCCCTTGGCAAGACTCACCACAATCCCTCTCGTCTGCCCCATCAATGCAGTCTTTCTTGAAGTCGCACACATTGATTGCACTGATGCACCGGTCGTCTGCCTTGCAGTAGAACTGGCCTGCTGAGCAGCGAGCAGGACCAGTTGGGGAAGGGGTGGTTGGCGGGGCCGTGGGGAGGTTACCGGAGTAGGCCTGGCAGCCGGGCGTAAGGCTGGTGTCGTCGATGGCGATGTCGCCCCCGGCAGCATCACCCACTGAGGCTTGGATGACAACCTTAGATCAAAAGTTTCAAATTACATGTAGTTCGCAGAAAAAAAATGAAATATGCTTTGTAATTGCCAGGCAATGCCTGGGCCTTTGGCAATTCTTTTCAGCTGATTGCCAGATTAGTATAGAGGTTTTACTTATTGATAAGGTCAGACCTCCACATGGCCTGTCCAGACTACCTCCAGCCCATTATAGACGAGTCTATGGCTATTTTACAGCTCCATTTAGCATGTAAGTGACTTCCAAAACAGAGCCCTGGTAGAAGTATTACAGACACGCTCCTTTGTTCCATTTGTTTGTGTTGGAAGAGTTTTCATGATCACAGTGACTAGAGCTGTAGATTATATGTGACCGGCTCCATAAAAAAGGGTATTATGCTACATTTTTTTTCAAAATGAGTTACATACACATTTGAATTGGTTACAATATAAGCTTTAACATGGTGTAGGTTTGAACCCTGTGGCACTTTGCAATCTGGAGATATATCGATTGTTGCATTATTATATCATACACAGCAACAGAAGTACTTTCTGAGATAAAGTCCTTTAAACACAGGAAGTAGAAAAAGAAATCAGCCAAGAAGAACGTCTCTTGAATATCCACAGCAATAATTAGGTTTCTTGAATGAATTATGAAAGTATTGATATGACAGAAGGCAATAAACCAACAAGTAATACAAATCACCCTCTCCGCATAGAAAAAGCCTCAGCACTAAATAGCAAAGCGTCCCTTAATACCCTTTTCTGGCGAGCGGGTCACATACGTGTATGTAGTTCAGTGGAAACAATGGTCCTCAACAGGGGCTCGTAGTGGACAGCCCACTGCTTCAAAGCAGGGCATTACAGGCCCTGCCGAGACGTGACCTGGCTTCTCGACTAGTGCCACCCTTACAGAAGAAATTATGGCTGGTGTGAAAGCAGAGAGTTCCTTAGAAAAAGGCAAGGCAATTGTGAACCGGCCAAGCAAAAAAAGTCACAAGTCGTCCGAGCCACATTTCAATAATACAAGCCAATAAAAAATCCTACAAACTCCAAAAAGAACGGGACCCCTAAATACTTTTCATCCTGATAATATCATTGGTATGAGGATGCCACACTTAACGCTTCATCCAACCGAACAGCTTGGCTTGCTCTGGCTAATGCAACTGAAAATAAAGGGCTTTAAAAGTGGTTTTTGTGGGATCACGATTCTTTGTAAAATATTTTTTTTAATTTTTAAATAAAAACAAATAAAACGTTTGGAATCATGCATGTTCAAAGGCCTTTAATAGCTGATGATAGATTTACACCATTTTAAGGGTCAGCCTCAGCTTATCGACGACCGCGTGTATTAACGTACTTGGAATGGTGTACTGGTTGTTATGGCAACCTCTGCCCGCCTCCAAACGTCTGCTTGGCCACCGCTCTTTGACCAAATTGTCTGAGCCTGGTAATTACTATTGTAGTAGGAACGAAGCATCACTTTCAGGTCTTGGATGTTGGCACCAAACATGTGGTAGAAGAATCGAAGCTGTGAAGGGTGAATTTGAGAAATGAGTTAACTCTTTTTATTAACGTCTGGTACCTCGCTTGTGTGGCTCAAGTGAAAACCCTGGTGTGGAAAACCTAGTAAATACGACAGACTTACTGGTAAGAAGTTCTGATTGAAATTCTAATCAGTGCTGCGGTCGAGTCCATTAATTACCAAAAAGGTTTCACAAATTGAACACCTGATGAGTCAGTAAATTCAGTGGACTGGAGGTCCACCTCATGGACTTGTCGCTTTTTGTAATAGTCTGAAGCGAATTCCACTACAACAGTCAGTGCTGTTTGAAGTTGTTCTGGCAGGGCAGCATACAGAAAGGTAAATTTGCAGAAAGAATCTGTTTTTTAGGAACAAGGGAAGATCTCCGTGTTTCACATAGTTTGCTCTCTGCTGTAGCTCCAAAACAGAGTACACTGTTTGAAACACTTCCGCTGAGCCTGAAAATATATTTCTCTCTATCGAACGGGTGGATTCGTGCACAAGGCTGAGTTATTGAGAATGAGATTGAAATTAGACTGGAGTGTCCAAAATAAATAGGTGAAGTCTGGCAATCTTACCTTACAATCGTTCCCAGATGGCACGGTGTACTTAGGGCTGACGAGTTGCGCTGCCTTTCCAAAATTCCCAGGTGAGGAATCAATGAACATATAAAAACCTGCAAATTAGCAAAATACAACTCTCACTGAACAAACGTATGTTTTGACAAACTCAGTTATCATTCTGGAGATGATGTTGTATTTCAGAAGTGCGTTTCAGTTAACAAACCTTTAGACATTCTGGATCTAGCTTCAAATCTAGAAGCAAAGTTACAGCCTGGCTTTGGATTTATGATGGCAAATGTCCTTAAAGATCACACCCAGCCGTCAAATATAAATACAAGGAATACAACCTGAAAAGGCACGCAAAGCACACAATAATTACTAGGGCTACGATTGATGCCGTCACAAGTCCACCATCCAGCACAAGTCATGTAGTCTGAAGCAATTTCATTCAACGCTCTTCAAATGAACCACACCAAAAGCATTCCTTTGTCACGGTTCACCGTGTAACTTTGAACTGGTTTTGATGAGGCTGGACTTGAGACAGAACGGAGAGGAGAAATTGGAAAAAACTTCTTCGAAAAGGAAGAGTTTTAATGACATTGGCATTAACGTACCTTCACTTGATCCTAAGGTGTGATCTCTAGAGGGTCCAGTGTCAGGAATAGCTGTTGAGCCCTTTAATCTCACCCAATTAATGCCATCTGTGTCAGTGGCCTGCGTCCAATCACAGAGATCGTTTTCAAAGCTGCACATTCTGTTGCCATTGGATACTGCAACGAAAGAAAGGATCCAATGAAAACAGGGCTTAGCAACAGACTTCGGCCTTTCTCAATAAGTGAAAGCCTAATCTGGAAGCAATTTTTGCCCGGTTTTGGACTTCAGAGTAATTTATTTTGCAAGTGGACAAACTCAGGTTTGGATCAGATGAAAAACCCAAAACACAAAAGGTTTAGTAGCATTTTCGAAAATTTTTAAATTAAACGTTTAGGTAAATAATAAAAAATATCCATTTTTTGAGCGAAAGTTATAAGCTCAGGAAAGACACAGTTGTTATCAAAAGAAGTTTCCATCTTTATCCTAACCTCCTGGACTTTATGTAAAGTTATATTTAAATTGGAAGATTTTGGAAGAGATTGGGCTTGCTATACAGAAATACTTCTGTTTTCATTCGACAATGATGTCTTGCAATCTTACTGATGACGATATCATCATGCATATGGTCAAAAGAAAAATGACTGTAAATTTCAATGCAAAGTATGACATTGATTGTATTAAATATGACACAGGGAACAGAAGTTATCTAAAACTAAGCTGGAATGAAGCACAAACCACATCAAATGACTGATTTGAATTGTTGGAGGTTTCAACGGACAGCAGAAACTCACAGCAAGACTGCAGATCCTCGTCCGTTCCGTCGCCGCAATCGTCCGACCAATCACAAACCAGGCTCTTGTCCACGCAGGCTCTGTTGACGCACCAGAAGTTGCTGGAGGTGTCACATGACAGGGCGGGGTCTGGGAGGGCACAGTTGGTGAACTTAATGTCGTCCATGGCAATCATGCCCTGGAAGTTGGAATTACGCTCCTTGCGGAATTTAAGCTGTAACAATAATGACAACATCAATAATAATGACACATTTACAATTGGCTTATTCCCAATCTGAACAGGTGTGTCTTGATCTTACATAGCAGGGTGTGGCATGAACCGAAATGGGGTTGGAAATAATGACAAAATTACCCTGAAAGGTGATTGCCTCCTCCCAATTCCAATGGTCAGTTGTTTCCACTGGCTGCCGTGGTCGGCGCTGTTGGCCCAAAGCACGCTCTCGGACCGATCCGCCTGGTCAACCAAGACCAGGAGCAGCTCACCGACGTTCTGGCCGCTGATGACATACCATATCTCCAGGACACAGTTGGCTGAGGCCACTGTGTATGCTGGGCCAACCATGAGGGCCACTTGGTCAACTGAGGTCTGGCCGAAGGGTGCAATGTACATGTAGTGACCTTCAAGGCCAAAAATTTGAGATATTAAAAGCAAATTCAATTTGTTCCTTCACATTTACTCTTGGAGATATTTGCAAGATAATTTACAAAAACATATAACCGTCAAGGCAACCTCTTGAGGGCGCTCCGGAGATGAGGGGCATTGTCTGTTGTCATAAGGACACAACCTATGTTTTTGTTCATTTTTCAGAGACCTGAACATGGAGTAATGTGTACAGACAATGACTTGGAGACAGAACAGCAGAGTAAAAAAGAAATAAAAACAGCAAGCCAATTCTTTCAAGGCAAACTTTAAGGGCACTCTGCAGGGGATGTCAAAGACTTGTCCCCGTGCTGAGTAGCAGCAAACACGAACCCAACCAAAACATCTTCGTCTACAAGCAGGTGTGTTTATGGAAAGCCTTCGACGTATAAGTAAACTCTTGAGGGCACTCTAGGGATGGGAAAACCAAAACATCTTGGTCTACAAGGAAGTGTGTTTATGGAAAGCCTTCGACGTAAACTCTTGAGGGCACTCTAGGGATGGGATCACTGTAATGGGGTAAGGAACGGGAATATCGATCTACCTATTCCATGGGAATATGAATGAGCATTAATGTAAATGTTTTGACCCTGATATACAAAGGAAAGAAATGATGACAAGTAGCATCCTATTCTCTTTAAGACAACTTCTAGAGGGCACTCTAGGGGCAAGGACACATTTTCCCTATGGAAGAGGCTATGGCACTACCCAGCCCAAATAGATATTATGTGTATGTATGTACAATATTACCTGAGTTATTACTCAAGAGTGTGAGAATAGGTGAACGAATTCAACATCTAAACATTTAAAGCAAAAACTCTTGAGGGCGCTCTAGGGTGAGAACACAATTTCCTTCCGTGCATTTCATTGCGTTATGGATTACTTTTCAATCTACTA